CATTATATAATTATTCAAACAGTTAAATCCTTAAAAAGGGTCGTCTCTTATTTTGATCTTATCTAACTTGGAGAACAAAAGAAATTAAACAGCAAATTCTAAATACTACAATGATACCTTGCTCCTTAAATTCCAACGAGTGTATCAGCTAGCCAAAAGAATACGGTCGTCCCAGTTCTCCCAATTCGCCTGCAAAAATTTAAATTACGACCCAAATATTAAGCAAAGATAGAGTGGAAAATCTGAAAATTGGATTTGCAGTCTTGGACAGAACCTGAAGATCGATTCATAATTGTACTAGCAGAAAAAGTCGAGTGAGGCATTGCAGTGTGATAAATGTCCCAGTTGTGAGGCACATTCGGAAGATAATTGATGTTGTTGCAATTTAGATCTCCTGACACTGTGAGATTTTGCTGGTAAGCAAAACTTGAATGTGGCAGCTTAAACTTCCTACTGATCAAGATTGAGTCCTGATCCGTATCATCTTCTTTAAGCACTCCATGAGCTATAACCTTAACGGAGGATGTCATGTTTTGGCCTGATTTTTCAATTGATTCACATTGGGCCAACGACTTAGTTAGCTTGCTGGTGCACATTTTCTCTTTAGTCCTCTCCCTTGCTCTCTCTCTTGCCTTTGCTCTTGATTCTTTTGCAGCTTTCTGCAGCTTTTTCACTTTTTGTTCTTTGCAGCTTCTTGAAATCGGCCCCTCTAGATTCTCACTTTCAGATATTGAGGAAGAAGATAAGCTCTTGACAACTCCACTGTTAGAGTTGCTCTTCATCTGAGCCAATTCTTTTATGGATTTTCTTGACTTTTTGAGCAACCAGTCCAGGGTTTTGCTTGCTTTGTCAAATCCTAACATGTCCTGGAGAGCAAAGAACTTGCGGGCTATGTCAATGGACAGTCTCACTCTCCGATCTCTCAGACCTTGAGCCGTGAAAATCTTGCTGTGCCTATCTTTCTTCACTGCCTTCGTGGCTGGCACAAGGCTTGAAAACCCAGAACATTGATCTCCATTTAGATTGCTAATAATGTTCTTTTCAGTCAAAATTGTTGCACTGTTTTGAGGAAGATTGCTTGGCCAAACTGGAGCCATGAGAAGTGGATCATAGAGATGGTGAAGGAAAGTAGCGTCACAGGTTTCATGGCCAGAAAGAGGGGGAAGAAGGTGGTAAGATGAGGATGGAATGAGGAGAGAACTAAAAGGGTTGGTGTGAGTACTTGAAGAGAACATCATTAATAGTTTAAACAAGCAATTGAGGCATAGGAATTAAACCCTAGGTAGCTTCTTAAAAAATGGAACTTGATGGCCTGAGCTACTCCCGTTTGAAACAGTTCTTTCTTCCCATTTTTATATCTCACTTGGTTTCAATTCTGTCCATGGAATTGGAAGAAAAAGTACATGTATATAATTATATCTATGTGGTTAATTACACAAAATTCCAAAAATTGTTATATGGATCTTGATGTTTTTGACCACCAGGAAAAAGTTAGATACAGTGGTAATAGGAAGTGAGAGAGAGATAACGGGGCATATACATATGGAGACAGTTCTGTGCCACTAAATTTGGAGGCAGCACAAGCATGGTAGGGACTGGTAAAAATGTTTTCACGCTTTTAATCTCGTTAGTTTGGGGTGAAGAGAGAGATGAAGTGACTTGACCTTGAGGGAGAGAAAGAGTAGAGGAAAGTAGCCTTCTAGGTTTCCATGAATTAGAAAATAAGGGTTAGAAGTAGGCAAAAGGATTTTGCGTTTCATTAAAACATGTTGGATATGAATTTCTTAATAAAGAGAGAAGATTTTAGCTTGTCAAATATTATCCAAATTTGGAGAGGTAAATTGTTTACAAGTGATGAATAGAAAAGAGCTTTAGTTTTGCCCAAAAGCCGTGAGGTTTATGTGTAGAGAGGAGGTCCTCTGCATGTGGATTAACAGAAAGAGTCGAGACGAAGGAGATGGTGTCTAATGTATAAATATAGATAACAAGACTATTTTGACTATACGACGCAAGAAGACAAAATAGGTGAAATACTGAGCACTATGCAAGAGAAAGCTGCCGCCTGTCATGTGGAAGCCAATGCTCTTTAAGTAGCTCCTAATTTGGTGTTTCCAAGAAAAGACAAAACAGTGAGAGAGAGTTCTGCTCTTATTAAATGCTTGACTTTGAAAAATTATCATGTTGATGTGGAAATTGAAGGAGTTAGTGATGAAGTTTTCGTGGGTGGGGGTTGTTTTTAGCTCTAGATTTTGTGTTTGAAAAATAATTTTGCAATTAAAAGTTAAAAAATTGTACTTTCTGAAAATAATTTTTACTTTTATTAGAAAATTTCTTGTTCCATCTCAACTCTCAAATGGCTAAAATAAAATCCAAACAAACCCTATTCTCCAAACTCCAATTTGCCCTCCTTAGAAAAAGAAGTGCATATTTATCTAAAACCCTAATATTCTTGTGTCTTAAGTGAGAACGTGTGTGTATATGCGTACTGGTAAGAGTTTATATATATATATATATATATGTAAGTATGTATGTAATATGTGTGTGTTTTGTGGTCGTACTGGGAATGGCAATATTCACGGATGACTTCCAAACCATAAAATCTAATAAGCCCATCACATCTCTGCCATTAATATTGTACACCCCCGAAAACCCACATGAGCTGTTGTATTCTTTTTTGTGTTTCCCGGTGATAAACTTGATCTGATTTACACATCCTGTCTCGATTACCCTTTACGTACAAATAATGTCTCAGCTTATTAAATTAAAAAAGAAGTGAAGAAATTCAATCCATCTCTTTCCCTATAGCTATAGGAGGAGGAGGAGGAGGAGGGTAACATGAGTACAATGAGCAGAAGACATGGAAAGTAGCTCTGAAGTTGCTATCAATAGACAAGAGATGTATGTACGAAAAAGGTGAAGGTACCCACTCATACAATTAATTAATGGGTTTCACTGCTTCTTTTTTCTTTCAGAAAATGTAAATATATTATTGTGTACTATCTTTTGATCTCTTTCTATAATCTGTTGGTTTTCAAATTCCTATTACTCAATTTTCTTTTTCAGTAAAGTTGAAACTTTAACAAAGATATAACCCTGATAAATTTACAGTTGTCTCAAACAGTTCCTGCCATACAAACAATATGATATATAAAAATTACTTACAGTGGTGATAGTTTTCCTGTTTAGGTTTTTCCTAATTTCCAATGCAGAGGTGGTGTTTTTGCTGGTAGAATTACCATCTAAGATGATTTTTTTCTTCTACCGTATATTCATAACAAGGATTTAGAATTACCATCTAAAAAGAATTCATACGAAGGATTTAGATATTAGAATTACCATGTAAAACTATTTTTTTTTTCCTGTATGATATATTCATAGTAAGGATTTAGAATTACCATGTAAAATGATTTTCTTCCTTTATGATATATTCATAGGAAGGATTTGAATATTTACCATAATTAGATTTGTTCTTTCTGTAAGTGAATTTTAATTATTAGATATTGAGTCTATTAATAGACCATTATGTGCAGGCGAAGAACACGAGCCAAGAAAGTTTTTGAGAAGAAGAAATCTTTCAAAAATATCACAATGGGACCAAGAGGTGGTAGATTCATGTTTTATACAGCATCATTCGGACTCCTACTCCAAATATTTTCTCCTGTGGGTAAGATTCTTATTTCTCACTCATTTATTTCATGTTTCGAATTACTGGTACTTGTGTGTTTACTTCTTGGTATGTAGGAGTGTGTAAATTCTAGCAAATTGATAATAAATGAATTAAAATTTGATCAACCATGAGATTTTCTACTCAGTTGATTAAATCATCTTTAATTTTATCACCCTTTGAAATTAACAAATGTATGAATATCTAATTTATTAAACTAATAAACTAATCAGATTTTGTTTAAAAATTTCAATGTTATGTATATCATAAATGTTGCAGGTGCCAATTCTATAGGTGTTTGTTATGGGCTAAACGGAGACAACCTTCCCCCTCCTACGGAAGTGATAAACTTGTACAAGAATTGTGGAATACAATACCTTAGAATCTATGAACCAAACACTGCAGTGCTCGATGCCTTGCGTGGATCAGGAATCTTGGTGGCCATTGGTCCTAAAAACAGTGACCTGCAAGGGCCTAGGACAAGCCCCGGGTGCAGCTCAAGGATGGGTTAACTACTTCATTACTCCATATGCTAATGATGTTAACTTCCAATGGATCACATTGGGCAATGAAGATATCCCAGGAGAAGAAGCTCCTTTCATAGCATCAGCAATGACAAATATCAAGGATGCACTTACATCAATTGGACTAGGTCATGTCTTAGTCACCACTGTTCTCTCTCAAAAAGCTCTTGCTGCTTCTTACCCTCCATCAGCTGGTATTTTCGCCCCAGAAATAAAAACTATCATGAATGACGTTGCGACAGTCCTGAGCTCGACTAATACACCCCTCATGATCAATGTGTATCCTTACTTCGCCTATGCTAACGACCCAAGTGAAATTTCTATTGACTATGTCATGTTCAATTCAAGTGAAGTCGTTGTGCAAGATCGACCGTATAGCTACTACACCCTCTTTGACGCTATGGTGGACGCATTTAATGCAGCTCTTGAGAATATTAACCATGGAGATGTTGGTATTGCAGTTGCTGAAACTGGATGGCCTACTGCTGGTAATCCTCCATTCTCTAGTATAGAATATGCACAGACTTACAACAGAGGAGTTTATAATCATGTTTTCCAATATGGGACACCAAGAAGGCCAGAGGTTCGTATGGACACACTTTTCTTTGCCATGTTCAACGAGGATTTGAAGCCATTTGGGGTTGAGAGAAACTTCGGATTCTTCTATCCAAACATGCAACCAGTTTATCCGTTTTGGTAATTGTAATCTATTTGTCTTAATAATAACATACAATTGATTTTTAGTTATATATGCATTTTACTCCAAAAAAATTAGTTTTATATATTATTGATTATGGTAGACTCTGCAAGTTAGAACAGGAACGGACTGCAAATCTGATTATAGTATTCGGGCTGGGCTACATTTTTATATGAAATGGGTTTGTGTGATTTTTTATGAAAAGATAAAGTACTTTCTTTTTTCTTTTTGTTGCAACGTTTTGACTAATTCACATGCTACCAGACTACTAATATTTACAGCTTTTGTGGAGAACAGAAGGGAACCAAGTATATATACACTGTTAAAAAGATATTCAATATATATATATACCCTAATAAATCTGAAGACAGTAGAGAAGTGGGACAGAATGCTGAACTGAAAATGGTGCACCACCAGTTTCTTCTCGACAAATTATTTGGTAGCAATTCTACAAATGATCTTGGGTGGTGATCCTTCTTCCTCAAAAATCATCCCTGCCACCCGCTACCCCTAAAATATCTTCCATTAATGGTGCTTAATTCAATTACATTCACTCACGGCTGACACAAAATCATGTACGCTGCATATAAGATCACCAAATGTAATATATGGCTGGTTCACTGAAAATATCTTTTATAAATACGTATGTATAGTTTTGTGGTTTGCAGGGTTGGTTGGTAATTCGGCCATGGAAATCATGGCTTATAATCCACACGAAGATGATTATGATGGAGTTAACACATAAAATATCTCTATACATATATTGCGGTTTTGTGAAAAGTTGTGTTGATGTGAATGCAGACAAAGAAGAAACGCGTTTTCTTCGAATGTACGTAGTCGTATGTCTTTTTGACCGGTTTAATGTCAATCGGTGACTTGTTCTTATAATGCATGCAGTCCATATATTCCCGGAGGAGACAGCTTATATACATACATACATACAGGTATGCACGTATGTACGTATATGTATATACGTGATGTATGTATTTGTGTGTGTGCGTGCGTGCAGCTGGGTGGTCATCTTTATGAAATCTTGGTTATGTACTTTCCCTTCTTTTACATAAGTAAAATTAGTCACAACTACTTCCCTTTAAAAATTACAACTATGTTTTGCGAATATTTCTAAAGCTTTGTAAAATTAATCATCTAGAAATTCACAATTTCTTCAAATAATAAAAATCTTTTATCAAAAGGACAAAAACTAATCCATATACATATATATATATATATATATATCAAGATTTGATGCAGACACAGTGAAAAGTGGAAACTATGTAAATTCCACAGGCATCAACGTATACACACATATACATGTATATACATGTGTGTGTGTTTGTGTGTGTGTGTACATGGCCTACTTCCTTAGTGCAAGGTGGTTGAATTTTCATTTTCTAAATCTTACACAAGTAGCTTTAGAGCTGGAAATCAAACTTGGAATTGGGTGGTTCGATCTAAATTCTTATGGAAATTTTTATGAAAGTAAACTGTAAGTCTTTTTATGTATACTACAAGAATATCCAGGTGTTGAGATAAGAAAACATGATTGCGTTTGAGACTTACAGGTGGTCGTCACCTTCGATACATGTATTGAAAGTAATGAACTGAATATGCTGTAATGATATATATATACATATATATATACATAAAACTACAAATTAAATCAAGAAAGGCCGTAATCTTTCCAAGCTGTGTAATGTTGTTATGGGGCATATAGAATATAATGCACAAGTTGAAAGTTCCATATCACTGCCCAAGACCCAACTCCATCTGCCATGGAATCTCTGACGTGCATGGCCCCTCCTTGAACCATCATCTTTCAATTCACGTATTCATTGCAACTCCATAAATCAAATTAAAATACATTATTACCCTTTTTCGAAGAAAATCAAATTAGAGTCATTTATAATTAACATAAATTTTATAAAAAAAAATTATTTTTTTAATCAGCATATTTATTTTTAATTTTTTATATATAATTTAGACAGACGTGATTATTTTTAACCGTATTTCTAACTATTTAAATATAAATATTAACGGTCCAAAAAATTCATTTGCTTTATTAAAATACCACGAGTTCGAAGACCATACAATAATACATGCTTTTACGGAATAATAACATTGTATTTTGAGAATAATAAAATCAAATATTCTATTTAACAAAAATCTCTATGATTATGTCCCGTGATAATTGGATACATTGAATTCACCATATTTTAGTCCTTTTTTAATAGCAAAATTCAAAATAAACAATTAAAAAAATTTTGAAATTTCCTAATGAATTTATGTAATTGTGTATCTAATAATTAATTATTGATTTCGTGGGTGCGAACATTGGATTTTCCAACTCTTAGGCTTATATTAATTATAATATTATTTGGTGCCATTCCATTCATGAATGTTCATCCGACAGAAAGATGAAATAAATAAATATATATATATATATAAACACACACACACATATATATATATATATATTAAAGTATAGCCCATGTTTTATAGCAATATGAATGTACCAAATTTATTCAAGATTGACCAAAATTAAAAAGAGATGAGGAGAAAAAGCATGTGAAGGGTAAGTAAGGAGGCATGGGACCTTAGAATTTATTTGAACCCTCGATTCCATGATAATTCATACGTATCAACACACCGTATTCATATAAATCATATCTCGTCGTGGGACAGTTCCATTCTTAGACTATTTTACTTTTACTCTTAGTTAATTACATTAAATAATTTTTCAAAAGTGTTTAATTTTGTCTAATGGGTATTTTTATAATTGTGTTTAAACTATTAAAATTGTTATTAAGATTATTATTTAATAATCGAACATTATTATTATTTCAATTTTCAAATTCCCATAAATCATGAAATTAAAGAAGTGGGGCCCACTCCGTCACACACTCATTGACGGCCAAAAGTGGGACCACGTAATTTGATTGGAATAGGATCAGACAGATGTGGTAGTGGGTGGGGCCACGGAGAGTAGGATGTGCACGTGGGTGTGATAAAGCTGCCATTTTGACCAACCCAACTTTGTCTGCTCTCGTCCGACGAGCTGGCAACTTCTGATTGGACGAAAAATTGGAGAGATGAAAAAGATTTTTTTTTTTTTTTTTTTTTCCTCAGGAGTTTGCGAAGTTTAATTAATCCATAATTAATTAATTTAATTCATAATTAATTAATTAATTAAATTATCAGACGTCCGTCGGAGAGATAATTGACCAAAAACAGCCAAGGCATTAATAAATCCTTCTCTTTAGGAAACGGTAGGCCACAGAAATGTTCGGATGACTCCCGGCGTTTCATTGGTCTACTTTTGCATTCGGGCATCGCACGTGCGTACTGTACACCCCCCACGTACGTTTGTATTTATGTATGCATGTAAGTATGTGTCAGTGTTCACACACATATTTGAATAAGTTCACTCACTCGTACCTCGTTACGTTACTCTTAAATTTTCTAGAAACCAAAATTTACCCATATCATATCCATTAGTTTCTACCTCGCGCATTGATTTGAATTAGACTTACGTTTGATTGATCTACGAAAAATATTATCTTTTTTTTTCCGAGAAATATATAATCTTTTTAGTTCCGTACCTTTACATGTCTTTCTTATCAAACCAAAGAGTAGTCGTCGGTTGGAGGGTTCTTATCTACCGCAAAATAATTTGCATTTGATTTGAAAGAGGCATGTATGTCAAGCTACACCAATACATAATCATTTTCATATATACATATATATATATATGTA